TATATATATATATATATATATAATAGTAAATAAGCGCAATATATAATTTTATTATTTTTGTTTCTAACAAAAAATGACAAAATTAATTGTGCATAATAATAATTCGAAATATTAAAAATCTCAAAATTGTGAACGCTATTAATTACCACACACATAATGAATAAAATTGAAAAAATCCTCAATAAACTCATATATGTGAAATAAAAGTTTGAGAGATTTGATTATGTACTATTTATTTAAGAATATACGAATGTATGTAAATATATTAATTTAAAATATTCGCTATTAAGTATATTATATAATTTTGTTTGTAAAAATGTATGCAAAACCAAGTCATTAAAATTTTATATTGACAATACTTAAATATTCTGAGTGACAATAATAAGATTGGAAATAAGACCGTTTTTTATGTGAGTACATCATCTAAATACGAGAAGCATCATTGACGGTCAGAATTAGATATTGAACTAATATACATATTCTTTTTAAATGAATTTATCTCAGGAATCACTGTGCGCTGCTGTTACTATCGAACTTTCAACGCAACTGAAATATTAATAATCTTCTCCAAATTTAATCATAAAAATCTGTAAAGAACTTTTTCTGAGATAAATTCATTTGAAAAAAATACGTACATGCATTAGTTCAATATCTAACTTTAATCGTTAAATGGCGTTTCTCGTATTTAGATGATATTCTGAATGACTTTTAACATATTTTATGTATATAATATTAAATTCAATAAGATATCAAAGATAAAAATATATATTTTTATCTAATATTTTACATTATGTATCAATAGAATTCTGAGATATACACCAAGTAATTTTGGAAAAATCTAATATAATGTATTTGTCACTAAAAAATATTAAATACCACATTGTCAATCATCCTTATTTTCAAAAAATTTAACATCTTTTTATATGCTATATAGATATTTTAAAACTACTGGATTTCCCTTTAAGAGCGGATTCTTTGAAATATTTTAACAAAAATTCTAATTAATACGGAAATATCGAGGCTATAATAAAAAATTTTTAAATTAATAGCAATTAAAGTTCACTAATCACATGATATATTTCGCGTGCTTAGGCATGAGATACAAATGGTAAAAATGCTTCACAAGGGCTTTTCTCAGTAACTTCAAGCTTATCATACAAGTCTTATATATTGTAATACATATCAATATATTATGAAAGGTTTACTTAAAATATATCTGCCTCACTTCTCAAATAACACAAAGTCTAAAATTGTGACGTAAGATGTCTTTAAGTCGTCTTTTAAACACAAAAAACGTCTTATGATCGGATTTTAGACATTTTCTGTTATCTAGGCTAGATATTGGAAAGCTCTTCACGCTTAACCATCTATTATCCGGAAAATATATGAATGCCTCAACATTTTTGTATAAAAAAAATTAATCTAAATAAAAATCGATTATTCAAAAATGGTAACACTTGAAAAATAGAACACTTTATAAAGAGATCCGCAATATGTTAACAATATTAAAATAAAAATCGGATAGAAAATTAATGCTCATCA